TATCTTCTGTATCTGTGTTAATTGGTTTCCCTTTTCTTTGTTGAAGAGGGTCTGTGCAATCCTTCTGCCTAGTCCGCCATCTTGCCCCGCCTCTAAGCTCTGGTTTTAAATAATCTATGCAGATTGAAAAGGTTTGGACTTTGGTGTCAGAAAGATCTAGGCTATAAACACAGCACTGGTAATCATAAACTCTATGATTTCAGGTAAGTTATATAAGCTCCTGGAGCTCAAGTCTTTTCATCACAGTTATTATACACCATTAATAGAATTACTACACACCAGAGTTGTGTTTTTTTTTTTTTTTTTTGAGGGGTAAAGATTAAATAACATAATATACTTACAGTCCTTTGCATCACAGTAGGTTTTTCAATTAAAAAAACAGATAGTCTTATTATTCTCTAAGTTTCTACCTCTCTGGTCATATATTCCATTTGCAATGCAAAAATCACATTGCATACAGACAGATAAACCTATGCAAAACAGTGACTGGTGAGTGTATGTGAATACATAGTTGAAACGGTATTAAACACTATCACCCTATTTTTTTTTATCACAGTGTAACTATCTATGGTAGCGTTTACATAGGAAGTATAGTCAACACTATTTGATCATACAAAGTGGTAATTGGCAGTATCTAATACTAACAAAGTTATTAGCATTATAATCAGTACCATTTCTACTACTTGGACCGGAAAGTACTCCTACTACCTAAACTGAATAAAACTATGGAAGGTGGAAGCCAAAAAACATAAGGAGGCTAGTAGAGAGAAACAGCCCAAATGAAACAGAAGTTGATATTTCTTCTATGTAGATGTGACTCACAATTACAACATGTAAATTTATAGGATCCAGAAAGGCATATTTGCTCTCAACTGATCAGAAAGCTCACATTTATAAAGTGGTATTAAATGCTTCACTTAGGTAACCCATCCACCAGTGCTACTCTATACCCTCATGTGCAAAGTTCTGTATTAATGAATTATTTGGCAATTTTAAAAATTCCAGGGACTGAGTACCTCATAACCTAAAAAAGACATACAAAGTACAGATGTGAGAAAAACAAAACATTGATAACGAGATATAAATAAGTTCAAACTAAAAAAAGTAATACTATCAAGTTACTTAAGAATAAAAACAAGAGTGAATTATTCCAAACAAACCTGAGGTGGGTTCAGATTTGGCCTTTGTTTCAGAGCTGAGTTCTGCTGACAAAGGTACTGAATTTTTCAGGACTTGAGTTGTCTTTGTAGGTATTTCTATCTCAGCATCAATTCCTACCTGTTTACCAAAAAGATTTTTCCTTAATAAGTGCATCATTTTACTAAAACAATACAATATCCTAAACAAATGGAAGTAGAAAATATTAAGATTCCCTCATCTACTTTCATTCTATCCCTGACCTCTGCCTAGTACTTCATTCCAAGCTAATATCTGTCCAAACAAAACTCAATGTCTACCTTTTTGGTCCATGAAAACTCTACCTTAGTTTTTTCTTTATGTTCAGGTAGTGATTCCTTTTTGTTGCTTTTTGTCCATGATGATTTAACTGCTTCATAAATTTGCTGGCCTGCAGCATATGCCTTTTTCCCAGTTACCTAATTAAAATAAAAAGTCAAATAGCATATTTAAAAAACTTAATAAATATTTTTAAAGTTACATCAGGCACTTTATATGAATATCCAATAGTAAGGATGTAAATATCTAGATTATAACACAGACCACCAATTTCTACATCTTATATGGAAGATTATTTCCCTCACATAAAAGACTCAAAACCAATAGAAATGAAGGTGATTTGTAAAATCCAGACCAACCTTAACAACATCACCCAGAAACCACACCAGAAAGAGAGTTCTCAAAAATAAAACAAACTTATAAGACTGAAAATAGAGAACAGAGATGTCAATCTGTAAACAACAACTACAAAGCAAAAACAGGGAATGAGTAGTATAGTTACAGAACTTCCAAATAGAGAGGAAGTCAAGATCTTATTAATATAGCACAAACCATTTTAAACTTATGAAGACAAAAATAAATTATAAGATTACCACAAAGAAAATTAAACAACAACGACAAACAAACCCATCTAACTAAAAGAAAAAAAAAATCATAAGGATTAAGTAAACACAAAACCAACAGCAATAAAATAAATGAAAAGAAAACCTGCAAATAAAATGAACTCAACACAGCAAAATAAATGGAACAAAGAAATCAATACCCCCAAAAAACAAAAACAAAATCCCACATACACACAACAGAATGACAGCAGGAAATTCATAGCTATCAGTAATTAAATTGAATGTAAATGAGTTAAATGGACCAGCAAGAAAAAGAGAGTGGCAGAACAGATAAGTAAACAGGATCCACAAATGTGGTGCCTACAAGAGACTTACCTTATACACAAAGATGAAAATAAACTAAGAATCAAAGGATGGGAAAAAAAAGATCAAATGACAACCAAAAAAGAGCAAGAATGGCAATATTAATTTCTGATAAAATAGACTTCAAGGCAAAAATCAGCATAAGGGACAGGAAAGGGCATTACATAATGACGGAAGGGTCAATACAGCAACAGGACATAACTATTATCAATAACTACATACCCATGGAAGAGCCCCAGAATACATAAAGCAAACATTAACAGAATTGAAAAGAGAAATAGACAACTCTACATTAGAAGACTTGAACCCATCACTTTCAATGAAGGAAAGAACAACTAGAAAGAAATTCAACATACAGAAGGTCTAAACTACAAAATCAACCAATTTTACCTCAAAGACATATACAGAATACTCCACTGAACAAAAACGCAATACACACTCTTTTCCAGTACACATGGATCATTTTCCAGAATTGACCATATGTTACGCCACAAAGCAAGCCTCAATAAATTTTAGAACATCGGAACACTACAAAGCATCTTCTCAGATCACAATGCTATAAAATTAGAAATCAATAGAAAGATCAGGGAAAAAAAACTGGATAAAAGGACACCAAATAACATCTCGTTTTAAACTACTGGCTACTGGAAAAAATAAAATGTGAATTAAAGAATTTCATAGAATCAAATGAGAATGAAAGCAGAACACGCCAACAACTATGGGACACAGAAAAGTAGCCCTCAGAGGTCAATTTATACCAATAAATGCAAGCACCAAAAATTAAGAAAGACCCAAAATGAACATCTTAACCCAACAATCCAACAATTGAAAAAGAACAGCAAAAAAAAAAAAAAAAAAAGCCTACAGGCTCCAAAAGAAAGGAAATAGTAAAGATTAGAGCAGAAATAAATGAAACAGAAAAACAACAGAACAAACAAGACTAGAAATTGGTTCTTGGAAAGGATGAACAAAATTGACAAACCACTGGCAGATTTAACAAAGGAAAAGAAACAGAAGAAGCAAATAACACAAATAAGAAATGAATGGGTGCCATCAAAACAGAATCAACCAAAATAAAAAGGAAAGAATACTATAAGAAATTGTACTCCAACAAATTTGAAAAAGGAGAAGAAATGGATAAATTTCCAGAAACACATGTACTACCTAAACAAACAAAAACTGAGGTAGAAAATTTGAGCAGACTTATGAAAAAAAGTCCTGGCCCAGATGGCTTCACCAGAGGATTCTACTAAATATTCAGAGAAGAGCTAACACCAATTCTACTCAAATGATTTTACAACATAGAAAAGGATGGAAAGCTCCTGAAACCATTTTATGAGGCAAGCATAAGCCAGATACCAAAGCCAGGCAAAGACATCACTAATAGAGAAAATTACAGACAAATATCCCTCATGAACAAAGATGTAAAAATCCTCAAAAAATCCTAGCTAATAGAATCCAACACTATATCAGAGAGCTAATACATCATTACCAAATAGGATTCATACTAGGTATGCAAGAATGGTTCAACATTAGAAAAGCAATCAGTATAATCCATTTCATAAATAAAACCAAGATACAGAACCAAATGATCATATCAATTGATACAGAAAAGGCATTTGATAAAACAAACACCCATTCCTCCAAAAATTTCTCAGCAAAATTGAAATATAAGGGAAATTCCTCAATATAATTAAGGGCATACACACCAAAACCACCACCACTGATCTGTCAGTTGGCATACTGTGGTGGTTTGCATGTTGCTATGAGGCTGGAGGCTATGCCTTCAGTATTTCAAATACCTGCAGGGTTACCCATGGTAGTCTGGTTTCAGTGGAGCTTCCAGCCTAAGACAGACTGGGAAGAAGAATGGACCATCCACTTCTGAAAAATTGGCCAGTGAAAGCCTTATGAATGGCAGTGAAATACTGATACATTACTGGAAAACTTTACGAATAGCCCTGAAACACTGATACAGTGCTGGAAGATGAGCCCCTCAGCAGCAAAGCACTCAAAATACAACTGGGGTAGAGCTGCCTCTTCAAAGTAGAGTTGACCTTAATGACGTGGATGAAGTAAAGTTGTCAGAACCTCCATTTGCTGATGGTGCACAACTCAAATAGGAAGAAACAGCTGCAAACATCCACTAATAATTGCAACTTTGCATCCATCGTCAAAAAGAATGTCTCAAGTTCTATGCTGAAGTACAATGCTGTCAGTGATAGTATGATATCCATATGCCCATAAGGAAGACCATAAATTTGAATAATAGCAATATTAACTGGTCTTCTCTGTAGATGTATGGATATTATTCCATCATTGACAGCACTGTACTTCAGGATAGATCTTGAAATATACTTTGTGATGATGAATGTGATACCATTTCTCTTCAATTTTTCATTCCTGGCATACTAGATCATATGATTGTCTGATTCAAAATAGCCATACCAATCCATTTCAGCTCACTAATGCCTAGGATATCAATCTTTATGTGTTCCATTTCATTTTTAAAATATTCCTATTTTCCTACATGTATACTTGTACATTCTAAGTTCTGATTATTAATGGACGAGAAAACTGAAGATATTTTTTACCAACTTCTGCAGTCTGAAACTGACCAAACATGCAATCTAGATATATTAATTATTACTGGTGATTAGAATGCAAAAATTAGAAACAAAGAAGAATCACTGGTAGTTGGAAAATACAGCCTTGGTGGTGACTGAAATGACACCAGAGATTGCATGATAGAATTTTGCAAGATCAATGACTTATTCATTGCAAATACTTTTTCTCAACAATGTAAATGGAGGCTATACACATGGAGATCAGCAGATGGAATACACAGGAATCAAATAGAATACATTTGTGGAAAGAGGCTATGGATAAGCTCAATATCTTCATCCAAAACAAAGTGAGGAGCTCATTGTGAACATGCCATCCATTGCTCATATACAAGTTAAAGATGAAGCTGAAGAAAATTAAAACAAGTCTTTGAGAGCCAAAATATGACTGTTATTTTATCCCACCTTTATTTGAGACCATCTAAAGAATAGATTTAACGCACTGAACACTAATGACTGAAAACCAGACAAACTGTGAGATAACATCAAGAATACCATACATGAAGAAAGAAAAGGTCAGGAAAAAAAAGGAAAGGAATAAAAGACCAAAATGGATGTCAGAAAAGGCTCTGAAACTTGCTCTTGAATGGAGACTGGATAAGGAAATGGAAGAAATGACAAGATTAAAGAGCTAAACAAAAGATTTCAAAGAGAAGCTCGAGAAGACAAAGTCAATTATAATGAGATGTAAAAGACCTGAAGTTAGAAATCAAAATGGAAGAACATGCTCAGTATTTCTCAAGCTGAAAGAACTGAAGTAAAAATTCATGGCTCAAGTTGCAATACTGATGGTTAAAATACTGAATGATGCAGGAAGCATCAGAAGAAGATGGAAGGAATACACAGAGTCACTGTGCAAAAAGGAATTGGTTGATGTTCCACTATTTCAGGAGGCAGCATATAATCAAGAACCAATGGTACCGAAGGAT